AATCGCGCTTAAAATACATTTTAAGCGCAATTAAAATAGGTAGGTTTTGGCGGTAATGGCCTTCCATAGTATGTCCTCCGGCCCGGTGAACAGTGAACGGCTAGTGACGCCTGGGCGGGTCACGGAAAGAGTATTTGGGCTTTATCAACCCGCTAAAAATGTAGATGAGCAGAGCATTCCAGGCCTGCACATCGACTGGTATGTTTCAACTGTAACTGTGCTGTGCATCTTTGTCTGTGCTTAGAATAAACTGTCGTTGTTGCTAACCAACTGATTGTTGCTGTGTATATGCTCGTCAACTCCATATTTCAACGCTACACAACAATATCAATTACAGTGCAATAGAACAAGTGCTCCTATAACAAGCGCAAAGGATGCAAAAGAACTTCAAAGTTAATATAGTACAAAAGTTTAAGTAACGAAAGCAAATCCCTAAGCCGAAAGCTAAAAGAGGAACTTACGTGCTAAATCTGAACAAGTCTGCTTGAAACGAACTTTCAGGAATACATTCAACACACACACTATACACACTATAGGCCACAGGCACTTGGAACGACTCAATAAAAAAACTAACGGTGTACAAACACGAAATGTATTAACTACCAGTCTTAATGTTTCATGTCCCATGTAGCAATTAACACACTAGTACACCGCACGCACGCCACTGTGCACAAACAACAAGAAGAAAGAGCTCTTTATTCGGTGAAATTCGTCACTAGAGTGCACTCTTTTGCATTATGCACGCAAGTTAGATGCCTCGTGGACGTCTAGAAAACATTAGAAATAAAATTGGTATTGTCGTGTACCTGTGACATTCCGTCAAGTGGCGTAGCCATGGTGACCGGTTGGTCATTTTGTATTTGAAATGTTATCCGACTACTTTGTAGAAATTCCAGTCCCGTAGCTAGGAATCAATGTATGAGGGGGGGGGGGCAAAACGAACAAGCGCCAGAGGCGCTCGCTTTTAGGGGGGTTTGGGGACATGCCCCCCAAGAAATTTTGCAAATATAGAAGCTCTGAAATGCAATTTCCAGTCATTTAATGTATGTTACATACTTAAAACTCCTAAAACGGTTAAGTGAGTATTTTCTAATCTTAAGTTCCCATTATTCTTCACTGGGTTCTTTTTTTTGGCGGGAGACAGCTGCCCCCCTGCCCCCTGTTAGCTACGGCCCTGAATTCTCATCATAGAGCTGGCAAAAGTTTCAAGCGGAGCATAGAGTATGAATCTGTAGTTATTTAACATGAATAAAATGCGCGTTGTGTATGCGACGAAACAGTGTGAGTATTTTTAATTAATATTCTGTTCGATGCTTATTCAGGCCTGCTAGTTATGGGCGCCTTCTATACTCTTGTACAACACCTTCACACTCTCCAAGCCACACGGCGTGCGTGACGGCGTTTTTGCTTACCGACAACAACACCATAATTATATTGGTTCGAACGCAATGCGAGATGCTGGCTCCCACGCAGCTTGTGAAAATCTGTTGACGTTGCCAGAACTCTCTTATTGCAGAAATAAACTGCTGGTAACATAATTTACGCCGGAGGTTGAATTCTCGTAAACTGCATGTTTACAACATTATTGTTGCGCCTCCCCCCTCCGCCTTCTTCATGCATCCTCGCCGTTCCACCGACACGTCATTTCTGCTTCCTCGCCATCTCCCACTGCGTACGGCAGCAGCAACAGTGCAATAGCGTGCTAATCTAACAAAGTATTATGATCGATGTTGTGTTTTACTCAGACAAAAAATGCGTTAGCTGCAGCCGACTGAACAAAGGCGAGAGTGGGTGGGGGAGAGCGGCAGAGCGATGGAGACAGAGAACGGTAAAGATCGAGAGAGGAGGAGGCGAATGGTAGAAAAAGATAGAGAAGAGTAAGGAGGGGAGGTGAATGAGGCGAGAAGGAAGAGCGAGAGAGAGAGAGAGAGAGAGAGAGAAAGAGAGAGAGAGAGAGAGAGAGAGAGAGAGAGAGGGGGGGGGCATGCCATTATGGACATTTATTCACTTACTTCTCCCGCCGTAGCTTACAGTACATTATTACGTCACCTTTCTCTATCAAAGCTGACGTTCAATTAGAAAACGGCGGCTTTCGCCGAAATTGCAAAACCTCGGGCGTGTGCTCACGTTGTAGTTGCTGATCTTTTCCCCATTATCGTTGCCATGGCGATAAGACAACCGTAATAATCGCCTGGCAAGCAACTGCATTCAAGTCACTATATATGTCCTACGGGTGTGTTGTGTGGGGTCGGGGGGTCGGGGGGCGTATCTAGCCACTGAATTCCCTCACACATGCATGTCACTCGCGTCAATTAACTTCAAAGACAGGAGGATAACGAAGTCTATTGAATCGGAAGTACTTCGTGAACCCTTTATGCGACGTGATTGCTCGCCGCATGATGGTCTGTAGGCCCTTAGATGTCATAGATGGATGGATGGATGGATGGATGGATGGATGGATGGATGGATGGATGGATGGATGGATGGATGGATGGATGGATGGATGGATGGATGGATGGATGGATGGAT